GTGAAATTCATAGCAAGAAATTCCCATACTAGGAAAACAGAGCAGGTCAAATAAACAACCTAATGCTTAACCTTAAGCTCCTAGAAAAAGAAGAGCAAGACAGACTGAAAGCTCATAGAAGGGAGGAAATTAGAAAGACCAGAGCAGAAATTAATGTAATAGGGACTAAGATAATGATACAAAAAAACAATGAATCAAAGAGTTGGTTTTTTGAAAGAATAATAAAATCAATAAATTCTTAGACAACCTTACCAAAAAAAGAGGAAAAATGAAGGCTCAAATTCATGCAATTAGGAATGAAAAAGGTGAAATCACAACAGATCCACCAGAAATCCAGAGAATCATCAATTCTGCAATTGAAAATCTGTACTCTAACAAAATGGAAAATCAGAAGAAATGGACAGATTCATAGATACATATGAACTTCCAAAGTTGAGGATATTAAAAAGTCAAAACACCTCAGTTACATTAAGTGAAATTGAAAATGTAATTAAAACATTACCAACAAAGGAAAGCCCAGGTCCTGATGGCTTCACTATTGAATTCTACAAGACAGAGAACTATTGCCACTACTCTTTAAACTCTTCAATGAAATTGAAAGGGAAAAAATACTTCCAAATTCACTCCTGGAACCAAGTATTTGATTCCAAAACCAGGGAAAGACCCAACCAAAAAAGAGAACTATAGTTCAATCTCTCTAATGATGCATTAGATGCAAAATAGACACAAAAATCCTCAATAACATGCTGGCAAACAGAATACAGAGGGTCATCAAGAAGATTATATACCCTGACCAAATTGGATTTATCCCAGGGATGCAAGGATGGTTCAACATATGTAAATTGATAAATGTAACCCGCTATATTGTCAAAGTTAAGGACAAAAACCATATGATCATCTCAATAGATGCAGAAAAAGCATTTGATCAAATTCAACACCCATTTATGATTAAAAAAACCCGCAGAAAACTGGAATAGATGGTCTTTATCTCAATCTGATAAAGGCTATCTATGAAAAACCAACAGCCAATATTACACTAAATGGTCAAAAACTGAAAACTTTCACTCTAAAATAAGGAACAAGATAAAGAGGTACACTATCATCACTCCTGCTCAATATCGTTCTAGAAACATTGGCCACAACAATTAGACAAGAGAAAGAAATAAGAAGAATAAAGATAGGAAAGGAAGAAGTTAAATGGTTACTATTTGCTGATGATATGGTACTCTCCATAGAAGACCCCCATTAAAAAACTCTGCCAAAAGACTTCTAGACTTAATTGACAGATTCAGCAGAGTAGCTAAATACAAGCTACATGCAAGCTGGATACAAGCTGGATACAGAAGAGTAGCAGGATGCAACACTGGATGCCTCCTTGTAGGTGAATAACAGACTCACTGTTATTAGGGAAACAATTCCTGAATTAGGGGAAATAATTCCTTTCACAATAACATCCAAAAAAATGAAATATCTAGGAATCAGTCTAACAAAGGAGACAAAAGATCTCTACACTGAAGACTACAGCACTCTGAAAAAAGATAGAAGAGGATATAAGAAAATGGAAAGATCCCCTGCTCCTGCGTAGGAAGAATCAACATAGTGAAAATGGCCATATTTCCAAAACTGCTATACAGATTCAATGCAATCCTGATTGAAATCCCAACAATATATTTCACAGAACTTGAGAAAACAATCCCAAAATTCATTTGGAGCCAGGAGACCTAGAATAGCAAAAGTTATTCTAGGCAGCAGAGACATGGCAGGGGGTATCACAATTCCCAATTTAAAACTATACTGAAAAGCCACTGTGATAAAAATAGTGTGGTACTGGCAAAGAAACAGATCCAAGGATCAATGAAATAGATTAGAAGATGCAGAAACAACACCTGATGTACTCAGCTACCTCATCCTTCACTAAGGAGCCAACTGTACTCACTGGGGGAAAGATAGCCTCTTTAATAAATGGTGTTGGAAAAACTGGCTTTCAACTTGCCAAAGATTAAAACTAGATTTCTATCTTTTACCATGCACTAAACTAAAATCCAAGAGGATTAAATATCTAAATATCAAAACAGAAACACTATACTTACTGGAAAATAAATTAGGTAGAACTCTCAAGTACATTGGCATAGGAAAAGACTTTATGAACAAATCCTCATCAGCATGAGAACTTGCACAAAGAATCAATAACTGGGATCTCATTGTATTAAAAAGTTTTTGCAGTGCAAGAGAAACCACCAAGAGAGCTAAGAGACAACCTACCATGTGGGAAAAAAATTTACCAAGGACTACTATCTAAAATATATAAAGAACTAAAAACAAACAAACAAAAAAAACCAGACCCCTCCAAATACAAAGATCCAATTCAAAAATGGGCATATGAAATGAGCAGACATTTTTCAAACAAACAAGTAAAAGCAGCAAATAAATATATGAAAAAAATGTTCCACATCACTGGTCATTCGAGAGATGCAGATGAAAACAACACTGAGATTCCACCTTACCCCAGAAAGAATGGCTGCTATCAAGAAATCAACTAATAACAAAGGCAGGCAGGGTGTGGGGAGAAAGGAACCTTCTCCATTGTTGGTGTGAGTGCAGACTGGTGTAACCACTGTGGAAATCAATATGGAGATACCTCAAAGAACTAGGATTAGAGGTCCCATTTGACCCAGCTATCCCTCTTCTGGGTATCTTTCCAAAAGAATTAAAAGAATCATATCACAGTGATATATGTGTACCCATGTTTATAGTGGCATAGTTTGTAATAGCTAAAACTTGGAAACAACCCAAATGCCTATCAGCTGGACACTGGATAAAGAAGATGTAGTTTTTCTATAAAATGGAATACTACTCAGCCATAAAGAATGAGAGACTAGAGACATTGATAGCGAAATGGATGCACAATGAGGCCACACTCTTAAGTGAAATAAACAGGACACACTTGAGTAAATACCAAATGGTTTCTCTGGTGTGAAAAACTAAAAGTGTAAATAAAGTTCAAATGGTATAATTGAGTGTGTGAAATAGGAAGACAATGGCTAAAGGGCATGTGGGAAGGGGAGGGGGAAGGAAATAAGTGAAAAGAAAAAATGTGAAAAATGGAAACAAATCTTTGTAAATAGGGAAAGGTGAAGGGAGGGCAGGAGTATGGGGAAAAAATAAGAACCAAGACATACCATGTAAAGGTACAAGGTCCCAGTGATGAAAGTGCCTGTATTGTTTGCTTTAAATATACGAATAAACTTACTGGGGGAAAATTAAAAAAGAAAACCAAAACAAAAGAATAAACCAGGCTAGAGACATAGCTCAGTGTGAAGGACGTGGGTTCAATCCATGGTCAGACACACACACATACACACACACATGAGCACCAGGGATGGAGAGCCTAGGTCAGGTGTATGTGAGTCAGGCTATTCCCATGCCTCAGGATCAGGTGGATATGTTCTGATGTCCAGGCTTCGTTCACTCTTCTCTGAAAACCATACCCAAGACCCCTCTGGGAGCCACCATTCACACCTCCATGTGACTCCTTCACGTGTGAGACATGACTTTGGCCTGGGCAACCAGGGTATGTACCTGTTCCCTGACCAGGGACCAGATACATAAAATAAAATCCTGTTGAACTTAAACCCTAGAATATATACAGTCTAGAGCTTCTGTAGACATTTTGTTTTAGGAAAAGAGACAAGATCTGAAAATTAGACAAAATATACATCTAACCTTCAGCCTGCGGGTTGGATGCACTTGTATTATAATCAAATTATAGAAAGAACAAAGTTTTGTTGCTTATGTACCTGCATAGTTCGCAACAATTCGTCTTCTCAACATGGGCCAGGCATGCCAAGCAGGCTCAACAGACTGTGCAATAAAGAAACATTGTCCTGGCAACATTGTTGGGCACGCACAGCGAACTGTGCTTAAAACTAAAGCTAACCCTGATCTTTGCAGTTATCCTTAGCTAATAAATTACTTTTTCTTTCTTTCTCACTTTTATTTCCTAGACATGTTTGGGTTGGAATTTTGTTCTGCTGGAATTGAGTGATGCTGATAAAAGCAGAGGTCATACTTTCCATGGCCATGGAAGAAAACAGGAAGGATGGCTAACCAGGCATCAGAGTCCAGTACCAGGATGTGGTCTTGTAGCTCTTATCAACTAGAGCTTGATGTTTGCTTTGGATTGGTGAACACTAAGCTATTTCCCATTCTTGTCTTTCCAGAAGGGCGGCTTTGCAGCAGTTGCCATGTTCTCTTCCCATCATTTTACATTGACTGTGCCAGAGATTGTTAACATCATTTAATTAGATTTGAATCATTTTCTTTTGGAGAAGTGGTGAATATATCTTAAGCATGTGCAGCCATTTTACAAGGTGTGGGAGGAAGGATGTGTGTGTACGTTTGGGCAGCCCCAAGGGTGGACTGGAATAGATTTCAGTTGTATTCTTCCACTGAGCGGCTATTCTGAGAATCATACGAGGTTTCCCTCAGTAAAGTCATCCTTTCTCCATTCCCTTGATGATACACGGCAATGTGGATTTGGAGTATCCAGTTTCCTATGTGCATATGACTCAAACAAGGCCAAAGAAAAGTAATGAGGCTTTTGCTAGACTCTCTGGGAAGGGCACTCTTGCTCTATCTAGAATTGAAACTTAAAGAAAAAAAGACGTGGAATTGCTGTGGCCGTCTTGTGGCTACAGAAGGAGAGCGTATTCCAGTAGAAAGCCAACACGTGCAGTGTGGCAAATCTATGACACACGTGCTGTAGCGCGCTCTTTGTTAGCATTGAAAGCTCTAAAAGGTTGGCCATCCCTGAAATAGAGTACAGCAGATAAGAGCCAAAAGACAGCAATGCTGGATCTGGATGTTTTGTTTTAAATCTGTGCATTATAGTACCTGAAGTCAGTGCTGCTCTTGGACTTTTCGAGTAAACGAGTCCATATGTTCCAATTTTTCAATATGTTTTCTTACCATGTTTGACAGGAAGAATAACAAGTGATACCCTGGAAAAGTGTCCATGCTCCTGGAGATGCACGGAAGGCGATGTCCTGACAGAAGAGCGTGCTTGCTTGGGCACAGGTAGGTTATTTGGGAAGAGATGCCTGGAAGTAGAAATAAGGTCATAGGGAGAATGAGTCAGGAAGGGTTAATCCTACTGTGGGCCCGCTGAGGAAGTGTGCAGACTGCACCTCCAAATCATCCCACAGGAAGGCAGGGCATTTGTGACTTTCGTGCACTGGCCTCTGTCTGTCTTTGAGGAATTACAGTGAACTAAAGCTTACCTTCGGGGAAGTTCTGAGCTGGCAATGCAGAGGAGCCCTGAGGGGCACACTCGATGTGAGACCTTGGCAGTGTGTGCACACAGACCTGTCCTTCAGAGATGCACTGGAATTATGTGTGTGTTGGGCTGCAAGCATCTTCTGCAAGACTCTTTTGTTTTGCCTTTCAAATTTCTCCAGGAGCAGTCCTCTTTCAGTATTTTCTAGGAATTATTGAAGAATCTGGGGTGTGGATTTTCTGATCTAACTCTTCCAAATCATCAAACTGATCTCTGATGCTAAGTGGACTCCAGAGCACTTTACCTCTGTTCCTAAATCTCCTTCTCTCCAGAGGTGGTTTGACCAAGGCAAATTTACCAGTGAGATTTGAGATATTTATAAAAATAAAAACCTCCAAAGAGTGAAGATGAGAACCTGGGGTGGCTTCGTGACCATGGGGGCTGACTGCCCTTATCTTCAACCAGTACAGCAAAAGCAAGGTGAGCTGAGCTCTGTCCTTGAAAGATTCCAATTCCAAATTGAATTTGTGCTAATGTGAGCCAGAGATTAGGTCAAGAGGTATCACAACAGAATGTGGGGAGATGACCTGAGGCCTTTGTCTTAAAAAATATCATGTAATGGATATCTCTTCCCCAGAGACTGTAAATAATTGTGTGTGTCTGTGTGTGGAATGATTAATTGGAAGAATTAAAATTTACTTTGGTAGTTCACATGGCTGGCAGCTGGCTTGCCAGTTAGCTAGACAGCTGGTCTTCTGTGCCCACGGGTTCTACACCCACACATTCAAACTACCTGGATCAAAAAAATCTTAAAATTTATATTCGTGCTAAACATTGACAGTTTTTTTCTCATTATTCCCTGAATAGTTCAGAATAACAACTGTTTACACAGTGTTCTTATTTTCTTAGATTTTGTAAGTGGTCTAGAGATGATTGAAAGTATACGGGAGCATAGACACAGGTTCTAGGGAAACATGATGACGTTTTCTGTTGGACCCAGCATCTGTGGCTTTGTTTCTGAGGGGAGTCCCAGAAACTGTCTCCTGCTGATATACCAAGACATGACTGTGTTTGTTTCTGTCTTGCCCTTGAGATCAATCTGAAGGAGAGTGGATACGAAATCTGCATACTTTTATCTAAGGATATTTTGTCTTCCAGGGCACCTGCCTGTTTTTTAGGGACAGCTGTTTCTGACATTTGTTTACTAAAAAACTAGCTGTTGGTTAGAGTTTCACTAAGTCGCTAAATTACCCAGGCTGCACCCCAGCCTCCTAGAGTGCAGCAATTACAGCCCTGTGCTACCAGGACCAGCAGAACATCATCAATGGACCAACCGGCGCAGGGTGCTAATCAAGGAGCTGCCCAGCAAGGAGAATAGGAGAGAGGTCTAGAGACTGTGAATGCTTCCTTGTTTCCTGTCCAGGTTTGGGGGCTGTGACTGTGGAGTGGTTCTCACTGTACAAGACCCCACTGACCCCACGGCTTTCTCTGTTGGAAGGACACTGATAGCCGCTGGCACGTATTTACTCATCCTTGTGAATTTGTTGGCTTGATGTAGAGCAGACAGCAGGTTTCTGAGAAGCCTGAAAGCAGGCCAGTGGGGCAGGAATTTCTCAGACTGTGGTGGACAAGACTTATTGGAGATGGCCAGCACCTTCCTGTGACTCTCTAGTGAACTGTGACACCAGGAGTCTGCTGGCTGTGGAAGTCTAAGTATTGTTTTTAAGTACAAATAAATTTGCCCTATCAAAGTTATAAAAAAAAGAGAAAGAAAAATAAATCTGTGTGTAGTGATGAAATCATTATTTCAATTGGCATGGGCCCTGGCACCCTCAGAATGAAAGCTGCGATTACCTAACTCTGGGGTATAAAGGTTACCCTTGGGAAAATGGCCAGTGAGAGTGGACAGGGAACAGAGCAGTGTGTATGTGTGAGTAAGAGTGTTAAAACTGGATCATTCTTCCAGGCCACCTCCTTACCCAGCAGAAGGTCAAGACTCATGCAACCATTGAGTTGTGTCTTCTTTATTCTTTGTTCTTTACTTAATTGCTTTTGCTTTTAAAGAGTTTGGTAAAAATGAAAATAATTACATCCTACCATGAAAGCTGCTTTGTCTTTAATCAAAAATGTCCTGTCATGAAGTAGGAGCTTATGTCATCTCCTATAGAATTAAATGATTCCCTTTCTTTGTCCCTTCTAAACAGGGAACAGGAGAAAACAAAGCCTTCTTTAATCAAACATTCTTAAAACTCTTGTACTCCTTCCCTTCCCTCAAAATTTAGACATTTACCTCACTATTTCAAGTCCTGACAATATGCGATAATCTTCAAAGACCTGACATACAGAAAGAGATGGGTTCTGCCAAGATGGGCAGATAGCATCTCAGGAAAGGAGAGCCCAAATTTCAGGGTTGTGTTTGTGCTGTAATCCTATTCTGTAAGATATCGATAATGGCTTGCAGAACTTTCTGGAAGCTCTGCATTTGGAACGGTGCCCTTTGTTACAATAAGGGTGGCATTCTCATCTAGAACAATGGAATACCCAGAGAGGGAGCCTTGTTCTTGATCCCTGAATTCCCTTGGGAAACTTCTACCTGGACTTCATGCTACTTCCTGGGGCTGTGTGATTTATATTGTGCCCTGTACCAGGCTCCTCTGTGTTAGCCACAGTCCCATAAATAAATACAAGATTCCCAGAGAGCATCCCAGACAACCTCTTGTGGCCTGCAGTTTATATCCTCATTTTGGAAAGCACAATATTATCCAAATTTCACCATGTCCTCAGATATGTCCGGTAGGATTATCTCCATAGCTTAATGACAGGTACAAAAGTCAGGCAGAATCTCAATAACAGAGAAACAAGCAGGCCAACCAAGAACAGCTGCAACACACCTTCGCGGCATCAAGAAGCTGCTTAGAGCACAAGGTTCCAGCAACTATCAGTGATCATTTAAACAGGAGATGCTGCTGGCTTTCTTACTGTCATACTTACGCCACCTACCTCTGCTGAGAGCTGGAAGAGTATTTCCAAGAACAACTCGAGTTGTGGAGCAGTCAGTACCACACGACTGCATCTTGCTGGATCAATCTTCTCCTGTTTCCTGCATCTTTGCTGTTATACCCTGCCCTCTTCTATTCCTTTTGTTCAGCTCTACAGGACCGGAAGACATACTGGAAAAACCTCCAGCTCTGTTGGCCCCATGACATACTTATATGGCAGGGCTCACCAAACATTTGATTGATGAATGAAGATGTGCTTCTTTACATATTTTTGGTAAATGTTCATTGCCACGACCAGCATGGCGTAGGGTCTAAATCCAGGGAGAGTGGTGGAAGATGAAGAAAATTGATGAATGATAAGAAAGAGAGATACATACCAAGATTAAGCCTGAAAGCTGGGACCAGGTGAAACCACAGCCTGATGAGCTAATGGCCGCCTAGAGTCTAGCAGGCTCTTTATTTATAGTGTAAAACAAATGAAAGAGGCAGGGCCTTCTACATGGTCTATGTGGCTACGTGGTCTACATGGTCTAGGCTGAACGCCGTGTGATTGTCTCATCACCTGGGCACTCACAGAAAAGGAACAAGGAAGAAGGATACATAATATAACTGTCTCCTGTGGCTGTGCCACCACTATAATCTTAGTCAAACAGACTTGACAATCTAGTCTATGGGGGAGAATGGGAGTAGGGATTAGGCGAAGGGCCATGTTCAGGCTTGGCCCACGGCAGCTTATAATATTCTTAGCCCTCTAGTGTGTTCAGTGAAATGGATTTCACATCCTTAATGTAAAGCACTGCTTTAAAACACAGAAGTGATCTGGGAGTCTGGATTATAATTCCTCTTCAGAGGCTGCTGTGTATACTTTCCATTACTTGTGCTGACCCTACTAGAAGCCGTGCCTCTGGAGGGCTCTGCATTTCAGGCCTCCACTTTGGGTTATAGCTTCTTGAGAGCAATGGACTTAACTTCATAGGTGCTCATTTTTAGTTTTAGGCACACACACAAAAATGCAAATTCATCTGCCTCACGAGCAGAATAATTTAGTAATTATTGACAAATAAGAGAATTTAGACCAGGCTCCTTCATTACAGAAAGCATCTTTCTTGTCAATAGTAATTTTATGCAGTCATTTAATTTATCTGATAATTCCCCAAATTGTTTCCATTGCACTTGCCATGTGGGACTTGCTTTTGATTTTAATTTTCTTCTTGTTGGGATAGTATTGCTATCTACATTAGATCTGCTATCTACATTTTCCTATTACCATCCTCAAATCCAGACTGTAGAGTGACTAGAAAATGGGATTACTGTTACATTCCCTAAATAGCTCTAAATGTTAATCTGTAGCACCAGCTAAAGACAAACCCTGATGACGGTAGGCCCTAAAAATCAATGATTATGTGGAAGAGAGAAGTCTCTTTCTTTTTTCCAGGTGGTTTGGCTGTTCTGCTCAATTATCTAGTATAGAGGTGATTATAGCCTGCCCGTAATAGAGCCAAATAAACACTATAGGTCCAAATGTCTTAATTCTGTCTTGGTAAATGAATCAGCTGAATCCTCAGGCTCATTAGACGTGCTACCAGTGTTTAGGCAAGACAGTCTTTTGGTATGTGATTCTGTGAGTTGCTGGATGTGTAGCTCAGGTTCTTGTTTCACTTGCCAGCTCATGTGGCAACCAAATATGCTCCCCTAACTCTTAAACACTTCACTTAATTGAAGATCACTAAAGGAATAAGGATTTACTTTCAGGAGAGTGTCTTGAGTTCCATGGCAAATCTGTATTTACTGTCCCATCTTGGGGCGTGGACAGGTGGTAAATCTTGCCCACTCTTTAGTACAAGCAGCTCATTCTGCATAGTGGGAGTTTGGTTTCAGACTGGCTAAACTCTTGATTTAGGCCCAGCATAAGAAACTATACATATCTAATTTAATTTTGAGACTTGACTTTTTTTCTCTAGAGTTTATTCTAAGTTTTTCTTCTTATGGGGATTGGAAGTAGATACATGGATTGAAAGGGATGCTTTCCCCAGGATCGTGTCTTATCTGCCCTGAGCCTGTGTTCAGAATCCCTGGAGTCTCTTGGCCTGGACTAGTTTCAAGGTGTGGGTCTTTATTAATGATAATATACTTTTTGGTTTCTCTGTAGGCATCCTACTCTAGGACTACCACAGACCATATGGGCTGTGTTATATGAGGATGGTGTGTGGGTGCGGGCTTGGGGAATCCTGGCTTTATTAGTTTAAAAAAAGTTCCCAAACTAATACAAATTTAAGGGAGCAAACACTTAAATACACTTATTGTATATGATTATCAAGGTGAAGTATTGTTTTAGAATATTGTTGACATAGGTCTCAGGACTGTATGTTAATAAACATAGTCCTCTTGTGGGTCGAATTCCAGCCTGAGTTATTTTTAATAAAAATTGTAGTTCTTTGTTATTCTCCAATAGAATGCATCACATTTCCAATGCCTTTGTGGCTGTATCATGTTAATGAAGATAGCAGGAATATGTGACCCTGACTGTGGTTAGATACACAGGGCAGGCAGTAGGGTGCATGCATAGATTTTTATGATGCAAACTTGTCAAATATGCACTATGGCTAACACACTGCTAAGTACCAAAGGAATACAAAAAGCTATGTTCCATGAGATATATCTGTTCCCGTCTCACCAAGAATTCCAATGAACCACATGTTCACAAGAGTTAGGTAGGAAGCAATGTAAGGCTATTCAGGGTTATATGCCATCACGGTGGTTGTCTTAGTCCATTCGGTGTTGCTATAACAAAATACTGGAGGCTGAATAGCTTATAAAGAAAAATTTATTTAGTGCACAGTTCTGGAGATCCAAGATGTCTCCAGTGTCTGCTTGCTCCTCTGAGGCTACATCACATCATGGTGGATGGTATCACTATGGGAACTTGTGCTACAGGGAAAGGTCACATGGTGGACAAGTCAGAGAGAGCAAATAGAGGCAGCCAAACTCATTTTATAACAACCTATTCTCAGGCCAGGGATTTAGCTCAGTGGTTCCAGCACTTGCTTTGCTAGCACAAAGTCTTGAGTTCGATTCCCAGTACCCCCCAAAAAAATGTTTTTAACAACCTACTCTCATGGTACTAAGTTAGTGCCATCAGAGTTAGAACTCCTGTGAGACAGTTTTAATCCTTTCATGAGGGTGATGTCTGCCCCATGGCCTCATTACCTCCTATGAAACTCTTAAAGATGCTATCCCTTCCCAATACTACCATACCGGGGACCGGGCTTTCAACAAATGAAACTTTGTGAGACACATTCAAAACATAGCACTGCCAAAGTGGCAGTGTTCATAAAGCACTCTATTGACATTGCTGAGTCATAACAGCTTTATCTCTAAGCCACATTACAATAATTGCCACATTGTCTGCCTGTGGATTATAGTTACTACGTGTATAGTGATGATTCCAACATATACTTCTAAATGAAGACTCAATGTTTTAA